TACAATATCTGTAAAATTACCTATCGGAATGAACGTATTCTTAAACGACTAACAACTATAATTTTAGAGAAAAAAAATTAAATGAATGGAGATGTAAAAATTACAATACAAAAAAAAAAATACTAATTTATGAATTCTATCTTCGTTTTGAATGATGTTTAAGGTTAGAATTTTAATTGCAGCTTTCATTCAACTACGAAAATCATTTAAATGCAATTCACAACTTCGGCAGAATTTAAATTAGAATCCTTTTATACCCTCGGTTCCTTTTGTAAATGTACTTGGAAAATCGTTTTCAAATTAAAAACACACTCTAAGAAAAGACTGGATGAAATGAAAACAGTAACTACTTTACAGAACAGATAATTCGTTTTTATAGGATGTTGAGTAAGAAAAGAGTTTCGTTTTATGACTACAAGAGCTTCTATAACCTAGGAAATTACATCTGGATTGGACAAAGTACTTATTTTATTTTATATACTTAAATTCATGGATGTGATTTTCTACGCTTATAAAAAAAAGAAAAAAAAAAACTGAAAAAAGAAAAATCCTTAATCGATACACGGCAAGAATATAAAAAACACAAAGAAGCAGACAGACTCTTAAGGTAAGACTTTTCATCAATTCTTAAATGTTTCATGTTTCTTTTAAGTTTTTTTAAACTAGTAACATTAAATCGGAAGTGTATTCCAAACCCACCATACATATGTCCACATGCGTCGGAAGTGTCGACACCAATGATATATGTACTGCATTGTTCTCTAAGAGATCTGTCAGCGAAGCAATATGTATTGGGGCATATAGACTGTTATTTGTGTTTGTTGTTGGTCGTGTCAAAATGACAAATATACACAGCCCTACAGGATACGTCACGTAACCAATTTATTATGTGTTTTTTTCAAAGTAGTTAGGATTTAGAACGGTCAACATCCTTCAAATGAAAAAATACACTTAATTTTACTCGTTCGATTAAAATCTATATTGGTTCAAAAGGTTCCAATAATGAAACCTTTTTTTTCTGCTATTATCAATTTATTATTTTATTCTAATCTAGCAACTATCCCGTGTTGCCCATACGGCAAGAGGAGAATGGAAAGTAAAATAAAATACTCCACATATTTATGAAATATATAATAGAGGAAATCATTGCGATCGGGACAAATTTCAAAACTGCGTTTTAGACGAAAGTACGCATTTTTAATTTCCATGAATCCAAATAACCAAGTCTCGCAAAATGGTCTGTGATCTGTATGTGTCTAGTCTAGTTAGAAAATTAAAAAGTATTCGGAATCTGAAATCAGTTATTAAAGGTGCACATACTTTCGGGATGTATTAAGCAACTTTTTCACTGAAATTGACTTACCAGAAGGGGGCCTTTAAATAAACTCTTTAAATAAATAATAAAGTTCGTCGCTAAATGCCATATAATTAACTCCTATTTGAGCATAAATTAAATTATTAAAGTAGGATGGAAAGTTAATGGTGTGTGATGAGTATGCCGCACAGTGATCGAAAAAGGTATAAAAACGGGTAAAAGATTGGGAACCTTTTAATTAGGCAACATTTTATATTTTAAAAGTTGAAGAAAATGAAAATGAGTTGTATAAGGTTATTTACCAAATATTCCTATCAAGAAAACATAGATAGACTCGAAAAAAAAAATGTGAAGAAACAAAACGAAATCGGGCTACAATTAAATGAAGATAATACAAAATACGTGGTAGTGAGCTGAATGTAATATCCTTGTGCCTATTTTGAGGCAATGATTTGTTTGAATTTCGCTTGCATATGTTCCTTCGTATTTCTTCTTTTCTGTTTTATTTGTTTATATACTTTTCCTTCAGTTTTCTATGACGGAAAGGAATTATAAACGGAAAATTATATCAGGTATAAGTTTATTTATTTATAGGTAGGATGTTTATCTTGCACGTTTTTTATACAGTTTTCTTGATTGAATTTGCCAGATAAATATCAAAACCGCTAGTTACCGCTGCTGATCATTAGCACAGAGTTCAAAGAATAATTTCATCAAAGTAAGACATTGGCGATCGTTGGCGTAAGGTACTTACCTTATGGAAATACGAAATTCCAGTATCCGCTGAGTAATAAGAACTTGTTTAAATCATATCAACAAATGATACAACAGAAATTTATTTTCAGAAATGAACAAAAGCATATTAAATGATATATAAAAAGTTGTAAAATTAGTTTTGTAGAACTAATTGTTACTTCAACACTTACTAGACAAACGCTCTAACCTCCCAATTAATTACAAAAGACTCATTTACATTACTAGAATAAGGCCTATTTGGACTTACGGAGTTGAGCTATGGGGCTCCACCAAACCTTCAAATTCCTCTCGCATCCAATCCTTACAATCCAAAATCCTTCGTAAAATCCTCAATGCTCCTTACTTTGTTACAAATAAAATCATCCATAATGACCTTAATGTTCCTTATGTATCAGATTTGGCCCAATCCGGATATTTGTCCTTCCATAATAAACTTCATAACCATCCCAACCCTCTTGTTTCTAATCTTGCTTCCTATTCAATTCCTGATAACCCCCGAGGCGTCTGAAAAGGAGATGGCCACGTGATCTCCTAAGATAGACATAGTATTAGAGTGCTACCAATGGGTAGTTTCTCAATATGCGTTTCATGTCATTATATCCATGTGCGAATTTACCAGATGTATTTTTTGTATACAGTTGTAAATATCATATAAATAAATACAAAATAAAAAAAGTTTTGTAGAAATAGACATTTTATTTATAATTGATTGAAAATCATGAAAACCGGTATTTTTATTCGTGCATAAACTGTTGGAATGTAACAATTAAATATGTCCCGGATTTAAAACATAGGGAATTTTATTTATTAGAACACCTCTGAAATAGTGGTTTTTGCCACTCTCATTCTATATCGTATATGCCACACTATATTTTTACGGTTATGATAATGAACCATTACAGAAAATAAAGAGAATAAGTATTGAAGTATAATACTCGCTACTCAAAGCAGTTTTTGCCCACCCTTCACCATGGCTATACAGACTAGGGTGAGGGAGTAGTAAAATGGTGGGAATGAGAAGAAAGACCAATGATAGGGCTCGGTGTGCATAGGGTGTTCTTGCTTGCTAAGGGCACTATGGAGAAAGCAGGACTACATTATGTATAAGTTTTACTATCTTTCTGTAGACATTTAATACTCATATTTATTTATTGTGTTTATCGTGTACATTTGGACCACTTTCGTTTGTAAATTCTTATATCTGAGTCGTTTATTTCCAAAATGGAGCCTTATCTTCACTATACATTTTCAAGAAATGCGATATCAATATTTTAAAAAAAATTCAATGATAATTTTAATAGGAATTAAAAAACATTGAAACATGAATAGAGCCGCTTTTGAAATTAATTAAAATTCAAAGTCCGTTTTAGAACAAAAAAAGGAGGTTTGGAGAGGAAAAATTTTCTATGATTCGAGGAAATGTTATTAAAATTGTACTATAACAATTTAACTCATTGTTTATAATAATGTTACAATAAAATAAATATTTATTTATTTTAACATTTTATGAAATTGTCACCCGCGCACCTAGCAAATCTGATGTATTAGCCAGTAGCTGCGAATTTGTTTCATTATTGTTTTTTGTTTTTTCCCCTTGTTGTTAATGTAGGAGTAGGTCCATTGGCCATTTTCTTTTCAGTCTGCGTCGATCAGGTAACAGGGAGCAGGAATAGAAAGGACTAATGGATTGATGTGATTTAGAGTTGAAGAATGAAATGAGCAGTATTTGTCGTAGATATAGGATTTTACTGTTGTGATGCTTAACTCGTGTATAGTGTTATTCGAAATGTACCAAGGTTTGTTCGTATTATTCGTATTGTTCGTAGTATTTTTGATTGTGTTGTTTGCATTTTATTTATGTGTGTTTGTTTTGCCGACCCCAAAAGTCTGCTCCGTATGTCTAAATTGGTCTCAGAATAGTGTTATTGTTTCGTAAGTTCAGTGAGGATCTGTAGTCCAGAAGATATGAGATTTGGTTATATCGTCTAGTTAGTTCTTGTCTTTTTAATTTAGTATTTATGTTCCATGTAATATGTAAGTCTTTTGTCTAAGTAGAGTCCGAGGTACCGTACATAGTTTTTTGAAGGCATTGGGTTATTGTCAATGATTATGGGTGGACATGAGGCTTTCCTAGGAGAGAAAGTCACGTGAGTGGATTTCCTACTGTTAATTTTAATTTTCCATTTTTCGAACCAGTTTTGAAGATCATAAAGGTGGTTTTGAAGGGCAATTGATCCGATAGTAGGATTTTTGTGAGAAGAAAGAATTGCAGTGTCGTCAGTGAAACAATAGATGGTGGTGTTAGGGTGCTCAGGGATATCAAAGGTGTATAGCGAATAGAGAATTGGACTTAAGACGCAACCTAGTGGTATGCCAATGTGTGGAGGGTCAGAAGAATCTAAGGAAACACAGAAAAACCTGTTAAGAAAGAAGGATAGAACTAGAAAATAACTAGAAGTTAAGTGCGGATTTAATTTCTATGATAGGCCCTTGTGCCAGACACTATCAAATGCTTTCTCTATATCAAGGAAGACCGCAGAGCAGTATTCCTTTTTCTCAAAGGATAATATATTTTATTCGACTAAGGGACACGAATAAGTGTAATATTGTTTTCTTGTATATTTCTGATTTATGTATATGATACATTTTGACGTAGATGTCAGCTATATAATAGCAATAGTTTATCTCAAACAAACATTATTAGCTATACAAGGTCCCATTTAAGGTAATAAGGTCTGGTAGTTTATCATAAAAATGGTTCTGCATCAATCTTTAGAAAAGAAAATGTTCGCCGATACCAACAAGGATAACGCGGAAGCGATTAATCAAAAAAGAAAATGCGAAATTCTATTAGGACGCAAACGACTAATAATATATGGCGCTATGTCAATAGGGGAGCATGAATATAGGGCGCCATGAGCAAACTTACTATCTGCAGGAAGCGATAATGCGGAGGAGGGGTGAGAGGAGGGGAGGGGTCGAGATGGGCCCCAATAAAGGCGGGGAGGGAAATGGGGTACGTGAGCCCTCCTGGTGTATTTATATATAATACCAGCTGCAGTGCGCCTCCGTCCCGGGGCACGTATGGCGGCTCTATACCCTTCCGGGCCCCTCATAAAGGAGAGGCCTACTTCGTATTCCCTCCGCCCCATCCAAATACAGCCAATAAAAAGTATTATTAAGGAACGAAATGGTTGCGGTAAATAAAAATATACACATACCCTGGAAAAATATTCTGTTTATAGCGGTGCCGTAAAATAAATATCAATAAAAGACCAAACGAAAACATAGATGTCCCTTCCTTATTACAATACAACACCGGACTAATACGCGGTAAAAAGTGGGAAAAAAAACAAATGAATATATACACAGAGTTTACTAGTGTAATGTATCATTAGGACTAAATAAATAGTATTTTAATTGAACTTAAGAGATCAACCCGATAGTAATTAAAACCCGAACTTAAGAGATTGCTATAGTAACTATTGTGTAATAAACAGAAAATTAATATATTTCAAAGTAAAGAAAAATTAAATCATAAACTTTATTAAAATAAAAAAAAATAATGACAAATGTTAATAAAATGACCCTTTTCTTGTGACAGTAATTTATAAATATTTAAGTGTTGCTATTAAGGTTGGATAACAAATGAACGGCATTTAACAGAAGCCCGCAAACCAGATGGACAGTTCGAATCAACACAGATAGAATAGAGCTGCCAACAGATAACCGGAGAGAAATAGCCCAAGATAGCCTGAGATGGAGAAGGCAATAGAAGATCAGGATCAAAAGATCTGATCTGAATCCCAATAGAAAAAAAAAATTAAAAATATTGTTTTCGATAAACGAATTTTTTTTCTAAAAAAAAAAGGAAACAAAACAAATACTGTAAAATCGTCCAAACTTTAATAACTAATAAAAAATATAAACAAATTTTTAGAAAGTTTACTTGTACTGTGGTATGCTCAAAAACGAAAAGTCGTAAGAAACTGAAATTGCGTATTTCAGGTTTTTATAAGCCTGGATGCTACAGCAAAATTTTCGTAAAAATAGGCAAACCGGAAGTACCACTTTATATCAACGGTGAAACACATTTTTAACTTAACCAACCTTGCTTAATCTTAAATATTGTGTTACTTAGACTGTATTTATATATCATTAGATTAGGTTTTAGTCGAAAATAACCTGCTGAGAATTTATTAAATTTCAAAATTCAAACAGGCTAATAATATTGGGAAATATTAAATCTTCATGTTAGCCAAAAATATTATCACTTTATATGATCGATTTAACACTTTTTTATGATTTTCTCAAAAATGGCTCCAACGATTTTGATTAAACTCAGTATATCAGTGTATTATTAAGCAGCCTTTCACAATATGTAGATTTTATTCTCATTGATAGGGCATTAATAGGGCTAACAGAGCTAATTTTCAATATTAGCTTCCTCTAAAGTACCTTTGATTTTTTTTATTTGGCATAATTAACAATTTCCCAGTAATCTTTGATACAAAAAATAGTTATATATAAAATATGAAAGAATTTAATAATTAACTAAAGGAGAAATAAGAGATCGTAACGGATAATAGTTGTAATGGATGAACCAATGCAATACGAGCGCGGCCGAACTCACCCGAAAGATTACAACTGACTAATACGTAAATATGAGTTTAATATAATACGGACTCCGACATTATTATGTACAGATATATGTGCGGTTTTAATAAATGATATCGTTGGTATTATTTAATTTTAATTGTTGATAAAAACATTAAATTTTGTCTATCTAAAGGTTTTGATTTAAACAAATACAATTACCCACAATGACAAGTAAATAAATACAGCATCTATAATTTTTACTTTCACTTCCCTTTGTCTGAAAATATTTATTTCAAGAAGAGGGTCATAAGTGAAAGTCGTGTGATGCGCGAACCAGATTTTTTTTTATGGTAAGCTATATTATATTTAATTAGCGTTATTGAAGCTATGAAAAATGTAATACTTCAATGTTAACACTCTACTCCCTCTTTTAAAGATTAATAACATCGAGGAACAAAATTTCGATAGATCTTATTGATACTTCGTCACTCAATTACCCAATCTTTAAATATAAAAAACTTCAATTCGAAAGTCGTATGAATTAGATGATTGTAATCAATCTCGTTTGTAGGCATGAATCTTTCGGATTGTCTTCTGATCTGTTCGAAAATTCTCAATCTCGGCTTTTTATGCAAGAAATAAAATTATTCTTAAAGAAATTTTTATTCTATTTAATCATGAAATTTACAACTGTATAAATTAAACATACATCTTGTAAATGTGTACAGAGAGATACAATATCATGAAAAGAATTGTAGAGAATCTACCCATTGGTAGCACTCTAGTAAAGAACTTAAAATCCAATTTGTTGATGAACTGCAATTGCTCCATGAATAGATTTAGGCCAAGCTAATAAATTATACAAAGGAAAAGTCCTAACGAATGACAATAAATAAATTCAAAATGTTACTAGATTCTTTGAATAATTTTCGAAGTATCGAGATATAAGAAAGTTATTTAAATTTATGAAATAATAAGAATAAATAAGAGACCAGAGAAGAGATGGAGAGGAGGGGGTTATGAAAATGTTAAATGAGGTAATAAACCAAAATACCCAGAGGAGCAGAGCAGAGGTCTTAAATCAGCGACAAAGATAGCTCACTTTTAATATTGTTAACTCCTTTTATTTTTCTCCAAAGGTAAATCACATTTTCCTTCATTAATGTTTCCAAGCCAGACGTTTGTTTCTTTATACTTTTATTCCACGGGTTTCATTTTCTTCTCTTTTCAAGATGAGCTTTTTTTTCCCCTTCTTCCTTTCTCTCCCTCACTATTTTTTTCGGTGTTAAAACTGACAGTTAACAGTAGATGAAAAATTAGGCAGTATTGCCCTCTAATAACTGTCTCGTCTGTTTTAAATTAATAATAATAATAATTAATAATAAGTCAGAAATGGTATACAGATGTTTGCATACATCGTCAATGCCATTCTGAATAGAAACAACTATTTAGGTCGAAACGTCTGCAAACATCTTCATTCAATACTTATTCCGACAAACTATTGGACAAACTTGAGGCGTTTGTTTTCAACATAGGTTACATCAATTTTTTCCAAAAAAATATTTTTTTATTTTTGATAAGTTTTTAATGCCAGAAATGATGTATTAGATAATGTGCTTGCTTCAAAAACATCTAGATCCCCTGAAAATCAATACCAAAAGATTCGGTTTCCTATCAAACACCAGTTGTTTTTTATAGCTAACCTTCTCATTCTAACCTAACCTTCTAATTTTTCAAGGAATAGTCAAAGTTTATATGGTTTGAGCTAGAAATCCTTTCTTTAAATTAAATATGTTGAATAAATTAAATATTTGACTTGCTTTCAAAACTTTCATAATGGAAAAAATACTGAAATTCAATTAATTCAACTACGGAAAAGGCGGAGACTTGAAGAATCTTGAAAACGTTCAAGATACCAACGAAACTTGGTATGTTTAAAAAATTAAAATTATATGTATATCTTGTTAAAATTAATAAAAGCGTCTTGTTTCAAAAACTAATCAGCAATCGATATTTTCTGATCAAATTCAGGTACATCCAAACATACTTTATATTTTTAACGAAATATAAAAAAAGAGAAGATCATAAATAGTCGTCAATATATTTTTTTATGGTGATTTATTACCAAAATAACAAAAGAAATGGTTTAATTATTTTTTAAAAATGAAATTTGTATTATCATTCTTGAAAAAAAGTTAGAAACTTGTTTTGAAACTAAACGCCTCACTTCCATCATAAAAAACATGCTCTCCCCACCTATCGTTTAGTGAGGTAAACATATATATATATATATATAGAGAGAGAGAGAGATTTTAATATATCGAAATAGAATTAGATGAATCAAAGAAAATAGTGATATAAACTTTGAAGTACTATTATTATTTAATACATTCAATAGTACCTATTATAGCTCAGCGCTAAAAAGGTATCAATTTATAATAAACGTAAACGACTTTATTACAACTTTAAGGTCATAGTTCGTGGTCTAATAGTCCCTGCCGCCATTTACTTTTATCAAGACAATCTTCCATCCGGAATCCTCTTGCTGCTATTGCCACATGAATGCCTTCAATACGTCACTTTTCTTGTCGACCTCTCTTCCTTTTTTCAAATGGCATTTAAGTACATTTTCAGGCCATCAGTCGTTCATTCTCATAACATGTCAAAACCAACTCTTAGTCTTAATGGTATATAGGATGTTGAGAAGTTCTTTCTACCTTTTCCCTAGTGGTGTTTTATTAACTTTTGTAAATAAAAAAGAGAACTGGACAAAAAGTATTGCGACTAGTTTTATACGTTTTTCCGCATAAATTACACATAGCCATTTCCAGTTTATTATCTCTTAAAGACAACTGTGCGTTACCAATCACGGACAAGAAGATTGGGTACATCGGTAGACTACCAAAAGACCAAAGCAACTAGAGATAGAAACATAAGCTATGTTTATATTTATAAAATACACCACACCACTAGTTCGCCTTCTTAAAGTTTTTGGTTTTTGAGTCCAACATCTTTACATTTTTTTTTTCCCTCAAAAGTCAAATTTCAATAAAGATATACCGATATTTTACCGACATCTCTACTATAGATATAATAGGGTCTCTATTTTTAGAATTATCAAGACATTATGTTAAATAAAAGGCAGATAACAAAAGATAAAAGGAAGTAATCTGACGTCACAATGTAGCCTATCATTATTACAACATATCGTACCTCCATCCAGTGGAACAATGACGCAAATGCAAATCATACAATCATAAAGGAGAGGCAAAAAAAAAAAAAAAAAAAAAGAAGATGAATATATATAAAATTATTATTATACAAGTAACTTAATTTTTAAAATGTAGGTATTGTAAGCGTATGATATTCTTCAATCCATTTAAATTTCGTTAATAATATACTTTGAAGTTGATTCAATTAAACACGTATTTCTGACAGTTTAATGTGATAAAAGATTTTTCCAAAATTTTACGGTTACGTCTTTTCTCTACAGGATTAGCACATTATAAACAAAATTGAAATGCAATGAAGTTAGTGTTGGCGAAAATAGGTC